GACTGTATTTGTTTTTATTTGTGTAGTTAAAATAATAATAATAAATGAGAGGATTGGTATACATGGTTATCGAGAGTCCTTTTTCCCAAATATTTTATTATGAAAATTCTCAAACGTACAACAAAATTGGAAGACTTTTACAACAAAACCCCTAGACTCACCACGTACATTCTACTTGTTTTATCACATGTCCATCCATCTAGCCCTCCATCAGTTCATCTTTAAGATGTGTTTCAGAGTAACTAGTTTTGGCATACATAATATTACCTAGAGTTCAGTGTTTGCTTATGGTATTTTTAATGTAAAATTTGTGTACAACAAAGTGCTTAAGATTAAGTGTTCCTTTGCTGAATTTTTACAAATGTATATACATCTGTGTAACTTCAACACCATTAAAATAGACATTACCATCAATCCTGAAATTGCCCCTTTGTCCTGAAGGATATTTTAATTGCCAACATTCTGCGAGTTGGCATTCAACACAGGGCTGAGTATGTAGTAAGTGCTCAATAAATATTGGTTGAATGGTTGAATGTGCACATGGTCTGCTTCCCTGAGGGCAGGACCGTGTCTTTTTCTCTCGCATTCCCCACGGAATTGATATGCAGTAAATGCTTAATAAAGACTTATTGACTGTATTAGTTATATATTGCTGTGTAACAAATTACCCCCAAATTTAGCAGCTGAAAATGTTACAAATGCAAGTAGCTAGATTCATTTAAAAAAAATGCAGGCCCATTAGTTTGTTCCTTTCTGTCTGTACTTCCTAGCCTGCCATTGCAGGGCCTTCTCAGTCTGACCATTTCTCTGGTTTCCTCTCCTACATGTCCTGACCCTCACCTCACACACCTTGTGCTCCTCCAGCAACAATAATGGTCGCATTTACTGAGCACTTACTAGATGCCCTTTCATGTGGATTATCTTGTTTAAGCCTCACCACAATCTCTGAGACCCATGAGGGTGATGCTAATATTACCTCATTTTATAGATGAGGAAACCAAGATCCAGAGACATTTCGGGGCTTACCCCAAGGTCACCCAACTAGCAGATGACAGGGTTAGGACTCAAAACCACTCAGTCTGACCTTGGAGCTGGAACGCCTAAGCTCTGCACTGGTACCCACTGGTTACCAGTCCTGGTGTGTGCCCTGCTCCTTCAGCTCCCCTCCCCTCCACATCCCACCCCCGCCGCTTGTGCCCAGGCTGGGCCTGCCTGGGGGGATCTCCCTGCTATTCTCTACCTGCCCCAAATCTCACTCATCCTTCAATGTCTTGCTCATATGTCACCTTCGAGAAGCTCCTTCCAGCTTCCCCAGAAAGTGCTGGTTTCTCATTCTTTGATTTTTACAGTTGAGAATTTGTGATGTGATAATTTGGGGACCAACAGGCTAGGAGCCCCCCAGCAGGTGGGGATTATTCTGTCTCTCCTTCTAGTGACTCACAGTTCCTGGCAAAGAGTGGGTGCCCTCTAAACGACAGTGACCGAATGGCAGTGGCCCCAGGTTGTGAAGGATTGCTAGGAGTCTCCAGTTGGAGTCTGGGACAGGGTAAGAAGTTGCAGTGGCCCCAAATGGGAGGGGCTTGGGGTATAAGGGGCAGCTGGCGATATTTTCACTAACCATCATTTGTCCGTGGGTTGACACTGCCCATAGGGGATCCAGCTGGGAGGGAAGTTCCATCCTTACCCCACTCCTAAAAGTCTTTAGGAATCAACTGTCCCACCCCCCAGGGGGTTTCGCATCTTGCTGTGCTAGGAACTGAACCCTGATGGGAAGTGATCCTGGCAGGGTTTCCAAACACTGCAGGAGGAAGCAAGGTCAGAGGCCCCATGCTCAGAGCCTGGGCTCTTTGGACCTCAGAAATCAAGGGGTTACATGGCTTTGGTAAGAGAGTAGCTCCGGAGTGGGTGGGGACTTCCGTGGGGTATGAGGGAAATTGCTCCATCCTCGGAGCTGTGGGGTAAGAGCTGTCCCAGCATCTCTCAGCAGCCCTGTTGCTGGACCTATATTAGGACTGGGTGATTTCTGAGTTTGATCCTCTTGCAAAGCCTGCTGGCCTTTAAAGGGGACTCCTATCTCTTTGGCCCCAGCCATTGCCAACTGACTTCTCCCTCACAGCTGCCTCACTCAGGAACTTACTAAAGCTCCCCATAGCTGCAGGTCCAAATGCCTCAGCCTGTGATCATTGTATCCCAAAGACTGGTAGACAGGATAAGAGCCTCACATATGGGGTGAGCCAGATATGGGTCCTTCCAGGAGATTCTGATGCATGCTAAAGTTTGAGAACCACTGCCATAAATAAACTTAATAGATGGACAACTGATTAGGAGAAGATATTTGGAACAACAATATCCAATAAGAGATTAATATCTAAAATATATCTGCTACTCCTGCAAATCAACAAGAAAAAGACAGGAAACCCAATAGATAACGGGAAAAAATACAAACAGGCAATTCACTGAAGGGGAAGCCTTATTGCCTGACAAGTATAGGAGGAGGTTCTGAATCTCAGGATTACCAGAGAAATGCAAGTTAAAACAGCAATGAGATGCCACCTTACATTCAAACTATGCAAAAAAGTATAAAGTCAAAAACCATAGAAGTTGCTGAAAATGTGGGAACAGCATCCTTCACATACTGTTAGTGGAGTAATTTTAGCAGATTTTAGTGAAAATTAAAACATATATGCCCTGTAATCCAGTAATTCTGTCCTTGGGTAGAAAACCAAAAAAGCTTTCAAACAGCACAGTATGTGCAAAGATGTTCATCACAGTGTTGTTTGTGGTAAGAGGGGGTTGGAAGCAACCTGAATGTCCATCAATGGGGGAACAGATGAACAAAACAGCAGATGCTCAGCCTGGAATATTTAGAGATGGTTGGATATAAAAAGTTAGGTTTTTCCATAGTAACGTGAGTAGATCTTTAAAAACATATTATGGGTGATAGAGGAAACACTAAAATGAATCCTTACCTAGTACCATTTATGTAATATAAACACACACACACAACATCGTATATTGTATGTTCAGGGACATATAAAAACATACACATGGGTGCCCGTGGTGGGGAGGGGAAGGAGTGTAGGAATGTGTGAATGGAGTTTGGGGAATATAAGTAAAACATCAGAAGGACCTTGCATGGACCAATTATGATGGTCATTTGCCACGAACTGAGTATGAACCACGAAACTCTCCGGATCCAAAGACCTAATAATAATGATGATATTATTTTAATGATGGTGATAATAGTACCAGCCTCACAGTAATTACCATGTACCTGGCCATGGAAAGTCAAGTAAAGTTTGAGAATTAAATTTTAGCTCTTCTATGCAGGTCTCTTCTTAGGGCTTCTTCCTCTCAGCCTATGTGTCTTTACTGAGGCTGTGCTGAGTGCTGTCCTGATGCTGACTTCCCTCCCCCTCCAACCTTGTCAGATTTCTTGGACTACCCCAGACTCGGTGGCTGTACTTTTCGTTTGGACCTTGAACATGGAGCCAGACTGTAACAGAGCTGTGATGGGCAAGTTGTATTTCCTCCTCCCAAACTGTGAGCTCCCTGAGGGTCTCTCTGAGATGTCACCCCCACCCCAGTTCCCGTCCCATTGCACACAGGGCAAAGACAGGCAAACTGAGTCAGAAAGTGTTCAATGTGAAAGGGAACAGCATTTATTGAGCGCCTACCATGTGCTTGACCCAGCACTATAGTCTTGAACTTCCATAACACCTATGACTACCCTGTGAGGTGGGTGGGGCCGACTTCTTGGTCAGAAGAGGAAATCAGAGTCACAGAGAGGCTAGGACCCCTACCGGACAGGAGGCCTAGGATTGTCCAGCTCCAAATGCAAGATCTGAACAAGAAGCCTGTCCAGAGCCTTGCAGTCAGGACTGGGACCCAGATCACCCACCTCTCGGTGGACTCTCAGTAGAGAGAAACCTCTTTTCCACACTGACCATCTAATTCATGCCATCACGGAAGGGGAGATCCTCTACACTATTTAGTAGGTCAGTTTGAGGTAACATCTAAGCGGAGTCAGGAGACTCTCTCAAGTCCCTCCTCCTCTGGAACCTCAGTTTCTCAAACTGTAAAATAGGAGGAACAGAGGTCTCCTGGCTCTGGGAATTCTCCCAATTGGCCAGCAGGTGGAGCCTACTCTTCAGCCCTCCTCTGGCCTCCAGAAAGCTGCGGAGTCTGGAGAGGGAGGGAGTGTCCTGAGGCCGGACACTCGGAGCTAACGGGGCAAAGTTGTTCACTCCTCCGTCCAGCAGGCAGAGCCCGGTTTAGGGTCCCGCCCCCTGCAGGACACTCTCGGTACTGCATGGACCGGAGCCCCCAGGGCAGGAACAGACACCCCAGGGACAGACCCGGGGAGACCCAGGGCTGGGGTTTGAGGAGGCGGCCGTGGAGATGGGGTCCACAGGCAAGAGTGAGTGCGGGGACATCCCCTTCCCCACCCAGGCGGCACAGGCTACAGGTAGTTGTCCTCCGCCGCGTCGCCCCCGCCCGGGGAGCCTCGGGCCTCCTCATCTGTACTTTCGTCGTCGTCGGGGGCTAGAGCCTCGATGTCGTGCGTGATGTCGGCCAGCAGCCGGTGGAAAGCCTGCGCCTCGGGCCGCTGGGCCGCGCCGTCGTAGCTGCGCACGGCCGACGCCGACGTGGAGCTCATGCTGCGCTTGATGCGGCCGAAGCTGTCGGTGAGGATGCCACCCTCGCGGATGCCCACGCCCTCCAGGAAGCCCTCGAAGTAGCCGATGTCCTGGTCCGGGATGAAAGGCCGCATTCCTGCGGGCCGAGGGGCAGGGTGATTCCTCGCGGATCAACCCTTCCCCTCCCACGTAGCACTCACCCCTGGGGAGCGGAGTTCAGATCCGTTCCCTGCCATTCGCTGGCTGTGTGACCTTGCAAAATTCCTTGACTCTCTGAGCCAGAGAATAATCACACAATGCTCGGCACACCGTAATTGCTCACTACATGATAGCTTATTATTGTCATTATTATTTCGATTGTTATAGTTCCACCTACTAGTTGGACAACCCTCCTTCAATAATTACTGAGACTTACTTTCCCCACTTGTAAAACTGAGATAATTGCACTTGTTCTCCTGATACAGCTGTGAGGATTAAACAGGGTACTTAGTACACATCATGGGCTCCGTTTTACTTTCGTTGCTACTTACTAGCTTTGTGACCTATGTACTTTGCTTCTCTAAGCTTCAGTTTTCTCATCTGCAAAATGAGGGCAAGTAATAATTTCAGCTTCCCAGAACTGAGAGCATTCAATGAAATGATGCTTGGCACATGGTTACTGCCAAATACATGTTATTCGTATTACAATAATTACATAGTACTATATAATATATCACTTTATTAACATTTTCATTCCTGTTGCTGTTATCATTAGCTCTCCTTCTTAGCTCTGTGACCTTGGACAACTTCCTTAGCCTCTCTAAGCCTCAGATTCCTCATGGGCTAAAATAGGAAGAATCATTCCCTCTCCCAGCTTTGCTGTGTTGTGCTCTCTCTCCTGGTTCTGAGACTGCAAGCAAGTCCTCTCCCTTCTCTGCACCTTGGTTTCCTACTGTGCCTCACAGATATCCTGATCTTAGCTTTATTGGAGGCTGAGGGTTACGGATTAAACTCTCCTAACCCACGCAGGGGGCTCACCAAGGAGGAGGAACTTGCGCCGGTCTCCATAGAGCTTCAGCAGGCCGTTGCAATAGTCCTGGATGGGCAGCCCCAGTCGGTACTCCCTCAGCAGCAGTGCAAACTGCTGGATCTCAGAGGGCCCCAGCTTACTCCGCAACTGTGGAGACACCGTTCAAGATGAATCCCGAGAGCAACCCCCACCCCACCCCTGCCCAAAAGACCCAGAGCCCTCTCTAAGGGTGTATCTGGCCCAGCCCTCCTCGGAAAACCCAGCCTACTGGGGGGACATCCAGACCCCTTGGGCTGCATCTAAGAACGAGATGTGACCTCAAGCTGCCTGATTTCAAATCCTAGCCCCTTCACTGATCAATTCTGGGATTGTGGGTAGGAGACAACCTCCTTAACCCTTCTTTTCCTCATCTGCAAAGTAAGGATAGTGAAGGCACTTCCTCTTGGGCTGTTGAAAGGATTAAAAGAAATGATGCATGAAAGGCGCTTAAAACAGCACCTGGTATATAGCCAGCATTCAGTTAACGCCAGCTGACGTTAAGGCCTTTCACAAGATGACTCAGTTTACCCTCTAACCTCACATCCTTCCCAGACCTCTGAGGTCTTATGCATCAGTTAAGTCAAGGACAATTCATGATTCCTGAAATACCCTATATTTTCTCTGGCCTCCAGGCCTTTGCTTCTGCTGTTTCCACTGGCTGCCCCGGCTCACCGTGACCATGTAGTCCTGCAGCTGCTCAAGGCCCAGGCCGCTGTGGTCGCTGCCGCTGCAGTGGGAGCCATGGAAAGAGGGTGTGGACGTGCCGCTGTAACACGCTTCGAATGTGTCTTGGGAACTATTGCTGCAGGGACAGGGGAAAGGGATCCTCACTCGCCTCCTTCCAGCTCCTGTCCATGTGATAGGCTGAAGGTAGGAGCCCTGCCACCAATGCCTCATCCTAGATCCTATTTTGGCTTTCGAGGCCCCATATGATCGGGTCCCAGACCACCTCTCAAGCCTGGTCTCACCCTTGCTGTTTATACTCAGGCCAACCTGCCTTCTTTCTTTTCCTCTAATACTCCAAGTACCCCCTCACCTCTGAGCCTTTGCACATGCTGTTCCCTCTGCCTGGAATGCCTCTCTTTCCCTGTCTTTTGCTTAGTTAACTCTTCCTCATCATTGGATCTCAAATGTCACCTCCTCAGGAAAGTTTTCCTGATCCCCTTAGCCAGGTTAGACCCTCTGTCAAATGTGGTCATGAAGTCTGCAAGTCTACCTGTGACAGGCAAGGCCTTTCAGATGCCCCACCAAATGTCCTCTCTGACCACTCTGGCCCTCATACCCCTGCTGCAGCCACAGTGGCCTCCTGGCTGCTCCTCAAACACACCAGGCTGTATCCTGCTTCAGCATCCTTGCACTTGCTGTTCCCTCCACTTGGAGCGCTGTTCCCCCTTCTATTCGTCAAATCTCAGTTCAAATGTCATCACCTCGGAGAGGCCGTCCTGACTCCCGGGGTGACTATAGGGTTTCCACAGCCTCTCTCAGGACTCTAAGCTTCTCTTTAGTGTTCACTGATGCTTATTGCTATTGAATAATAGTGATTTTACTGTCTCTTGTGCTAAACTGTAAACCATGCAAGAGCGAGGATCTTGGTTTTCTCTGTTTGTTGGGTACCTACTATGTGCCAAGCACAGGACTCATCCTAGTCTTGCTCCCCACTGTATCCCTAGCACACAGCACAGTGCCTGGCACATGGTAGGTACTCAATAAATATTGCTTAAATAAAAGTCAGCCGTGGGCTGCTGCCTCCTGGTCTCTACATTGTTCCAGAACCATCTTCCGTTATTACCCTTAGAGAAGCAGTGTAGCTTTGTGGTTAAGGGTGTGGACTCTGGAGCCAGCTTGCTTGGATTCAGACCCCAGGCCTACAACTTACAAGCTGCTTGACCTTCGGTCAAGCCACTTAACCTCTCTATTTCTCAGTTTCTCCATCTATAAACTGGGATGATAAAAATTAAAGTCATCATGAGAATTAGAGGAGTTAATATTTGTAAAGCATTAAGAGTCATGAACAAAGCAATAAATAAACAGCAGTTACTGTTATGTTGTCATGTAGATTTTTTAAATGAAGTACATTATAGAATAACACTTGGCACACAGCAAGCTCATGATTGTCATCTGTCCTTGTTTAAGGACTGGCCTAAGGGCACACAGTATTAGGAAGGTAAATATATTGCCACTAAAAAGGAAAAAAAAAAGTAAGGCATGTATCACTGGCAGAGACTGTTCCTTATCAAGTCAAAAGTCTTAGTAAAGAACTAGGGTGACCAACTTGTCCCAGTTTTCCCAGGACCTGCCTGGTTATAGTACTGAGAATCCCATGTCCTGGGAAACCCCTTAATCCTGAGCAAACCAGGGTGGTTGGTCACCCTAAATAGAACCCTGGACAATGTTCCCAACTTAGATTTTTTTAAAAAGCTTGCATTTTCCAGCCTTGCTTATAGCTGGTTGTGGCCATGAGACCACAAGTTGTACGCCGAAGCTGTCAGGTGGGAATTCTAGCAGAGCACTTTAAAGAGGTCCTTGGCATGCTACTGTGGTGGCTGGAAATATAACCACCATCTTGGTCTATGAGGTGACCTTGGGGATGAAAGCAAATGTTAAAGAGGGAGGAAAAGATAAGCCTAGGTCCCTGATGACCACGAGGCCATGAACTCCTAGTCTATTTTATATAAAAGACAGGGGGAAAAAAGCTCTATCTTGTTCAAGCTACTTTTTTGAGGGTTTTCTATTCCATGGAGCCCAAACTAAAGTAAATCAAAATGATTTTTTTTTCTTTTTTTGGCATTGGCTGTGATTTTGGCCTCTGCAGGCCACTGTGTCTGGATTGCCTGGGAGAGAGCCGCAGGCCCATGTGGACCCAGTTCTAGGTTCTAGCTGCCCCCTGGGCCTCTCGGGGGTTCAGATCCTATGAGCTCAGCAGAGCCTGGAAAGTTCAGTTTACCACCCCCATCCTCAGGGCTTAGTGTCTCAGCACAAATCAAGTGGGGTTGGGGGGTCACTTTCTCCCACCTCTCTTGCCCACAGGGTCTCAAGAATGCCTCAGAGAGCAACCTTGTTTATGCAGGGCTAGGGGGGACCAGAATGGGGTCCCTGGCAGGGTACCCACAAGGAGCTGCAGCAGCTGAAGTCGGCGTCATAGGCGTAAGTCCCATCCGTGCGGCAGCTCTCACCTGGGGTCAGCAGACAGAGGGCTGTCAGAAGCAGCAAAGCAGGGGCCAAAATCCTCGGCTCCCAGAGGTGCCAAGCTCAGCCCACCCTGGAGTCAGATAGCCCCCACCCTGGCTGGAGAGCAGATAGCTTTTTAAGCAATTGTACAGGTGATGGCTTTTACTCTGAGTGAAATGTGCCCCCACCACCAACACACAGCCTAGCTTAGGCAACTCACTACCCCTCTCCTGGCCCTCAACTTCTCAAGGTTGGGACAATGCCACCTTTCTGTCTACCTCATGGGGGCCTTGGGGATAGCAAGCCAGGTAACAGGTGAGGTAGTGTTTTATAAACTGTCTGTGTTTGAGAGCAAGCAAAGAAGAACTTTGAGGGAAAAGAACTCAAAATCATGAGGGGAGAACAGCACCAGTTCCAGAGAACTTGCTCTGTCCCTCGCCCTGTCATTTCAGTGAATTCAGGTAGTAGCCTCACCCTTCTGATCTTTTTTGGGGGAAGAAGGGGTGCGTAATTGATTTAATGCATATTTTTACTACTTTGGCCTTTATCTTATATGAAAAGAGCAATTCTATACACAGGTAATACATAAATAAAATGCAATGTGGGGAGGGTATAGCACTGTGGTAAAGTGCATACCTAGCATGCACAAGGTCCCCAGTACCTCTATTGGAAATAAGTAAGTAAATAAACGTAATTACTTCCTCCCCCAAAAGAAATTTTCTAAAAAAGAACACATTTTTAAAAAGATTTTTAAAAAGTAATAACACATAAAATTCATTTATAGTCTATAAAATGGTGTTTGATGAGCCATCTGATCTTTTAAGAGAAGAAAAAATCACTTCATCTAAGTTTGCATGCTCTCTGGCAATCTTTGAAATATTGATCACCCTCCTGACTTTGGTTTACTTAATGTCACTTCCTCAGGATGCTCCCCTGACTTTCCAGGAGAGGCTGGTTCCTCCTTATCTGTTCTCATAGCACAGTGTATGGGTACATTTCATTTGTGTAACGATTTAATTATTATTGGCTTCCCCCAGCAATGCAAGCCTCAGAGCTAGGGAGGGCTATGTCTGGTTTTACTCACCAGTATATCCTGCTGATTAGCAGAATCTGACACAGAAGCATTCAATAAATACTTGTTGAATGAATTTGTGGAAATATTTGTTGAATGATCTCATTTATTTGTCCATCATCCTTGTGAGAGTCAACGAACTTTCCTAAATTCTCAGTAACCACAGTTCCCACAGATGAGAGTGCCTTTCAAAAGGAAAGAGCCAGCTTCCTGGTGCTGAAGCTATGCAAATAGGGACCATGCTGAGGGGCTGTGGCTGAGGAAGCTCACATAGTGGCCTTGAAGGCAGCATGGGCAGCGAGGCTGTCCCAGAGAGAAGCTTTAGAATCAGACACACCTGGCTTGGAATCCTGACTCTGCCATTCACCAGCTGTGTGACCTTGAGAAATTTATTGGCTACCTTGAGCCTTAATGGCCTCATCTGTAAAACTGGATTCATAAGGCCTCAGAGAGTTTCTTTCATCTGTTCAGAAAATACGCCTTGAGCATCTATCTCTGGTCCTGCGCTAGGCACATGAGATGCAGTGGCAAACGGGACAGATAGGGTTGCCATGAGGATTAAATAAGACTTGGCACAACAGTACTGTGCTTAGCACCTAGTTGGTGCTCAATAAATACCTCTATTGGTTTCATTCTCATCCCAGCCCTTGATTGCATTCAAGGACCAGTCTAGAAATCTCAGTTTTGACCTAGAGTCTTAGTGGGGCTAGACGGCTCAATAAACAATGCACGTGCTTAGGTTCTGGCAAAGCAGTGACACCAAAGACAAAAGAGAGAAAAAGAAGGTCAGCTCTGAGGGGGTTGATCTGAATCTGGCAACCGGAACACCTATGAAGAAGCTAGGTTTGAGGTGATTATGAAATTGGATATTTTGTTTTAGCTACATATTGGGAGTATGCTGTAATTGCTGTAGGGGTCAAGACCCCTAAAGGCTTTCCTCCTCCCTAGTCCTGGGACATCCCCCTTCCCCTGGCCTTTCAGGATGTTTCACAGGACAGGTGGCCACAAGTGGGAGTACTCACTGCGGCTGCACAGCCACGGCCTTTCGGGTGTGGACATGTAGTGGTAGCCGGCCCGGTCCACGCACTCAATGCTCTGGTCCCCGTAGATGATCTGGAAGACCTGACAGATGAGGGCGCAGGACTCCTCGGCAGCATCCTGGTCCAGAGAGGAGGGCAGAACTCAGGCCGTCTCCAGTGACCAGGATGCCCCTGCTTCCTAAATGCAGTGTGAGGAGGCTCACACACATCTAGGGATGCTTTTAAATCAACTTTGAGGACATTTCCCTTGAAAACTATATGGCCCCACACTGGGTGAAATGTATTTATAGAAATAGCCACTTACTGGCCTTCACAGAATCCAGTGACAACTGTAACTCTTCTGCCCTGAAAAATGCACACATGCACCCCAAGTATCTGGGGGAATTATGGGCCCTCCTAAAAGTTATCTAAAATAAGCCCTAATTTAGTTTAATTTATAGGTAGAAATCTGCTATGCTGTACACCAGAAATTAACATAGCATTATAAATCAACTATACTTCAATTTAAGGAAAAAAAGAAAAAAATGTTAGGCTCAACATAGTTACTACTACTGGATGCCATATTTAGATATGAGCTTCCCAGCACCCAGGGCAAAAATGGAAGCAGAATCAATACGTGAAGCAGGATGAATACATTGGCTTTAGTCCCTGATAGAAGAAAGGCATTTAAGTTCTCAGGTGAAACTTTTTTGAGATCGCAAATTTCAAAGAGGAATTTGCCTCTTTAATTTAACTCTTTAAGTCTCTAAGCAAGAGACAGAAAGATGAAGCCATTTTCAGGAAGCCATTTCCTATTTTGTGCTTCTAAAAAAGTCAGCCTTGGGTATAATTAACATGTAACTCAGGATAGGCATTTGGGGATGGGAAGGTGAAATAATCATTAAACCAGGATTGATCTTTACAATAACCCTACAGAACAGATAGGGAAGAGAGATTCCTTATTTTATAGTTAAAGAGATGGAGTCTTAGAATGGTTAAGTGACTCGCCCAGGCTCACACAGCAGGCTCATGGCTTTGGGGTTAATTTTGACACCCAGGTTTTTTAACTCTAACTCCTGTACCCTCCTTGGGACCACGATGCCTCAGATAGGACATCAGAGGCTCAGATACTCCTGGAAAACAACTCTTCAGTTATTTGCTCATTCCACAAATTCTTATTTAGTCCTACTGTGTGGCAGCCACTGGGCTAGGCTCTGGGGTCTCAGAAGTGAATTAGATGAGGCCTAAAGCCCTCACAGGCCAATTGGATAAACAGGCCTCACTGTTCCCTCTGCTTGGAATTTGCTCTTCTCTCCTCCACATTTCAGTTTAAAAAGCACAAACTCATTTTCTCTCTGGATCTCCCCCATCATCATCATGACAACCTGCTTGATTTCTTCTTGGTCCCCATCACAAGGTATAGCAACAGAGGATGCGCTAATCCATCCATTCAATATTTATCGAGCACCTATCGTGTGCCAGGCACGGTTCTGGGTGCTGAGGATAACTCAGTGAACCATCCTGAACGCACAGGTGCCCTGAGATGAGGCCAGAGAGAAAATGAGGATGGTGGCTGGGACCACCATAACAAAGTGGATGGCTTTGTAAGCAGTTGTAAGGACATTAGCTTTTACTTTGAGTGAAATGGGGAGCCACTGAAAGGTTTTGAGCAGTGACATGATGTGACTTATGTGTTAACAGGACCACTCTGACCATGTTGGGGAACAGATTGTGAGCAATGGTCAAACCAGTGAGGGGTGATTGGACCACCCCCATGGAAGAAGATGGTGCAGGGACCTTGGTGGCAGGGGACAGTGGTGGGTGGGAAAATGTAGCTGCACTCTGGTTTTATTTTGAAACTCCAACAAGATTTGTTGATAGAGTGGATATGGGTTGTGTGAGAGAGAGGGACCAAAGCTCACTGTAAGTATTGGGCTGAGCAACGGAAGGACAGAACTGCCATTCAAGACAGGGAGACCAAGGGAAGAGCAGATCTGGGGAGACTGGGTGCTCAACTGGACGTGTTAGGTGTGAGATAGTCATTAGGCGTTTGAATGGAGAGGCTGAGAAGAGAAACATATCTGGAGATTTGGTGGGAGATAACATTTAGGGAGTTCTCGGTGTTTTAAAAGCCACGATACTAGAGGAGGTCACCCAGAAATGAGTGTGGACAAAGGAGAAAGAGGATCGAGGACTTAAGCCTGGGACACTCCAACCTTAAGAGGCTGGAGAGAAGAGGAGGCACCAGCTCCTAAGGAGGAGCAGCCAGGGAGGTAGGAAAACCAGGAGAATGTGGAGAGCCGGACGCCAAGTGAGAAAGCGTTTCAAGTCAGCTCCAGAGTCCGAGTTTACTGGTTACTATCTACCTCTTCCTCTACACAGGCACCATGTCTGTTTTGCTCACGGTATGGGGTTGATATACAGAGGCCAGAGAAAAAGCTTACAAGGCTCAGGGCTTTGAATGTGTCTGCGAGTCTGAACTCCCTAAGGAAGGACACTAAATATGTCTTGTTCATTTCTATATCCATAACACCCAGCCCAATGCCTAGCATACACTGGCGCTCAATGAATATGATCAAATGAATAAAATGTAAAATGTAAATATGGAGGAGGGGGGAGGGGGAGGGCAAAAAGGCAGGCAGGCTTCTGCCTTGGGTGACTGCCACTGTTAACAAGAGTACAGGCTCTGAACTTCTGGGTCCCAGTAAATCACCACCTGCTTCCTGTGTGACCTTGCACAAGTTGCTCAGCCTCCGGGTCTGCTTCCTTCTCTACAGAATGGGGATGATTGCAATATTTGCTACTAGGGGTTACTGTGAGGATGAAATGAGTTAAGGCTGGTTTCCTGTTTGGCACAGGTTGGCACTCAATTCGCACTGGTGATTACTGTCCTCATGATGGTAACTGTGGTAGTGCCGACACTGACGATTTTGGAGAAGGAGCAGGGCTGGTGGAGGGGTTAGATCAAGTCTGTTTGGGGCATTTTGAGCTTTCAGCCCATTGGGACAGCAAGGGGGAGGTATCCTGGAGGTGTCCAGGGCTGGAGTCTAGAAGGCTTTTGGCGTCATGGGCACGCAGGTAGTACCAGAAGTCCTGCGTAGGGCCGAAGAAGGGAGAAGGAAAGAGGCCGGGGTGGACTTCAGGAACCTCGAGAATGGGCAGGGTCGGGGGTGGGAGGGCTCCGGGCAGG